AAAAAAAAAAAAACAACAACAACAAAAACATAAAAAATAATGGTCAAGCGCTCGTTGCTCGTCTGTATGCTGATATTCACTGCTGTTTCTTTGATCTCCATTCAACTTACGCATCATATTTTAGAAGTACACTGAAAACAACAATGACAATAACAACAACGAGAGTGAAAAAAAAGACATTCTTCTGGTAACATTTTTTTGATTGCTGGTGACTTTGTTCATTGCCTTCAGAATGGGTAGCTTCCTTTCCCAACATGATCGTATGAAGTATAATCTTAGCTTGCAATCACCGTATTAAAATAAAGTTTTTTTAATGGCATAGTATTGTATCCAAAAATGGCGCAAAAAATCCGCATTTAATTAGTTTTGTTGGCTACCATACTATACTGTTTATCAGTAATTAATCCCATATAATATAACTTCATTATTATAATGTATTATAATTCACTGAATTATATTATTTCCATAAGTTATAATTGATCGAAACATTACGCTGCTTGTGACGATTGCCCATGTAGGTTGTTTCCTCATCCCATATCTGATATGTTTGGTTGTTGCTGGAGCACCCATCCTTATCTTGGAGGTTTGTTTGGGACAGTTGGCCAGTCAAGGTGGAATTACGGCATGGCTTATATGTCCAATCTTTCAAGGTTTGTTTGAGGAATTTAACACCTTCTAATCATAGGAAATAGGTCGTAAACGGTGATTCTGCGATATGCAAAGTGGTCTGAATAAATGATGCTCTCGCACCAGAAAAATAACAGGCAAGAGGCAAACCAATTTTCCGTCAGTCCTATTCCAGACGTATGCTTCTTACGTGAAAAACATGTTAGTCGAATTCGACTTGAGCAGAAAAGGGTCAGAAAAGCATAGATCTTATAGGTTATAACGGCGTGAACTCCTTAACTATTTACTGAAGTTCTCAACTCCGAAGCTGGCTAGGAGTAAAAGGCCGATAAAAAGTTTTGAACTAGTTCAATCTCTCCGTTTTTCTAATCTTTGTTATTTCAATGCTGAAATAAAATTCGAAATTTGTTCTTATTATAATTCATGGGCGAGGTAATAGCAAGTTATTGTTGGGAATGGAACCAAAGTTGACATTACTGGAAAAACATGAGATGTTATTATTTTTGCAGGTATTGGTTGGGCCAGTGTAATAATCGTCCAGTTTTTGAACATCTACTACATTGTTATTTTGGGCTGGGCCTTGTTTTACATGTTTGCGTCCTTCTCGTCCGAGCTTCCTTGGTCACGATGCGGCAATGAATGGAACACGCCAAACTGTGTTGACGTTTTTAGCGCCGCCGAAAAAGCTAACACCACGATCAACGCCACAGTGATACCCAACATGTCAACAGTGCCCACTGCAATCTCGACCGCAGCAAAGGTGTCTGCGAGCGAAGAATATTGGGAGTAAGTTCATATCATTATCATCATCATTGACTTGCCGAGGCAATATCAACAAGAAGAATATACAATTACATTAATCTAGATAGGGCGAGACCTCAAAAAATCCCTCAAGGCTAACGGAGCAGGCCACCTTAATTGTTAATATTGAGAATGAGAAGAAGAGAATGAGCATATTTTGTAGTGTATACTTTTGGTGGAAATGTAAAATGCTGGAGAAGGAGGGTAGAAATGGGTTGAAAAAACCTTCACCGTTGAATTTAAGAAACAATCACCAAACGTTATGAATTTTCCTAAAATTTTGTTGGAGTAATTCGGGAGAAACAATTCTTGTGATACAAAGTATTTGTCTTAGCACCTTTTACATATTTTGCGCAGTCAGTTACAATAGTTTGTATGACTTCATACAAAGATTACAGGTCAAATACGGCGTCTTTCGGAATAAACAAGTCAGTATCACGTCGTGCGTCGTTTTTTTGACAAACGAGTTAGCAAATGAATGAGTGAAAAGTTATATTTTTATTTTAGGCTTAGGGTCTTGAAGGTTAGTACTGCTTTGGACGAACCAGGGGCAGTGAACTGGGAGGTTGCTTTGTGCCTGTTGTTGGCTTGGATCATTTGCTACTTATGCGTCTTCAAGGGAGTCAAGTCCACAGGAAAGGTGAGAAAGCTGTCTGCTTGCATTCTCAAATGCTATGAGAAAACGTTTAAGCTATAAAGCCTATTTTACCGTTCCGTGTGCTTGGTGATCCAGCCTTTGAGCAACATCGAGGCTGGAGCTGACCTCGTTATGACGCAAATCTTTGTTTTTGTTTGTTTGTTTGTTTTTCTTTTCAATTCGTTGTATTGTGTGGGAGAAGTTTTCCAGTGTGGCGAAGAATAGATGTTGCTGCAGTTCGCAATTCAGAAGGTACAAAATGCAGGGAGCAGGGACATCTTCAAAATCCTGCTGCAAAAGGAAGTCTCACGATAAGCCATACACTAGCCTCCGAGACCGTTAGTACATGCTGAGCGAGAAGATATTGACTGGAATGATGACAATCGATTCGACTTATTAATTTGACAATGGATCGGCCATTCGGTGAGAAGTCCAATTAATGGCAACAGACTAAAAGGAACTGGAGATGAAACTCGGAAGCTACTGCAGAGAGAATCAAGATATGCTATTTGCCTTGGAGACCAGCAAGCTTTAGATATGTGAAATAACTTTCGACCTGATGACAAGTGAATTCATTTAGCCACGTAGTTCTGGAACGTTCTTCCTTGAAGAAAACTCCTGGAATGGCGTAGATAAGCCAACGAAAGTGTCTGACTTCCGTGCCTCTTTGTAAAAAGCCTGCGAGACCGTTGTGGCCTCTACAGTGATTGCTTGGATATTTTTATTTGATAGTTCATTAATGCAAATTATGTGCTTTTTGAATCACTTTAAATTAGATCACTAAAGTAAATTAGTCCTGAAAAACCTTAAGAGGAGAGACTAATGCTTTGTGTTATATTGTGTCGTAAATTGCAAGGCTTGGACTATCGACCTTGGAGATACCACATTCGCTAGCCTAATAGTAAGGGTGGATGCTACAATATCTCCTGGTCACAGTTGGGGCAGTTAACTTTAACACTGCCCTTGAAGAAGTCCACGAGTCCTGGAGGACATTTCCAACAAAAAGCTGATTCGGCTGAGCCTGTCTCGGATCGCCGACATGGGGATGCTGGTGGACATTACAGGCAAAGCTATAGCTACGAGTTTCACTCAAGACAGACGACTAACTCTTCTCAGTTGAATACATTTTTGAAACTGGATTTTCTTGAACCGACCCTCAAAACAGAAGAAGCCTTTTCAGCTATGGGGATCGATTCTAAGTAAAATGTGACAATTTCAAGAGCTCAGTGAATAGCCGCTGCGCTGTTGAAAAGCCCCGAGATCCACGAAGACCTCCACCGGGTCAACAAGCAATCCTTACTGGACAGAAACGCTAACAAAACGTAAAGGCTTTGTTATATTCCGTCAGCGAGACACTGCAGAAAAAGAAAAAAGGACGCTTGCGTTTGGACGAAAAACAGTTCGTAGACACAAGAGGAAAGACCTTTGTACAAGGAATCTGAGAAGTATTTGAAGCCACCAAATGTAGAGGAAAAGAGTTTAGAAGACACCATGCATGTTCGATTAGGTTGAAAATTGACATTTTGTACATGATTGTTGCCGCGATTCCGAAGACTTGTGGCCACTCTCTGTGAAAACTGACGGGATGGTTTTTCAAGTAGTAATGGAGACTAGAAGGATCATCCGCATCGGTGCATTTTTTTAAAGGTAACTCGTAGACTAAAAGATAATCAGATGTTGTGAACGAGTTGTGTTTGGAGACGAGATCGTGCCAGCATCCTGCCGTTTAACGTTGTAACTTACCCTGGTGCTATGAACACTTCAACTGGCTCAATGTGCACGGATGATATCAATGGTTCTGTACATGCCATGGAGAATATCATTACTCTATAGCTATGCTAACGGTGCGAGAGGTCATCCCTGAAGAGAATTGCTGAAGATTATTGAGATAGTGGAGAGTTGACCAGTGTTTTAAAGAAGTGCTCTCGATCCTTTCACTGGCGTGGTACCACCGGGTGAAAATCTCACCAAACGCAACACAGTACATCATAGGATTCAGAGTGCAATATGTGGCAATGCAGACGCTGGAAAGTCGACAGACAGATTATGGCTCCTTACCCCAAGCTCTGATTAGAGACATCCATGGGCCACCTGGTTTGGTATAGAGTTAATTATAATAAATGTGGAAAAAACTCAAATAAACGACATCTGTGTATTTTTACCTCTTGCAGTCAAATGACCAATCCACGTGAAGCTCGAGTGCATCTAGGAACGCTTCACTGGAACTTAGAGGCACCCACGTGAGCTGACAGGCGATCAAAGAAAAGTACATGGAGCACACTATGACCAACCAAGGGGAAAGAAGACGGATTAATTTACTTAAGACAAGACATTCTGGTGGTTTTTAACAGTGCAAAGAATACATGAAAGTTACCTTTGAAACGCCGATCTGTCTCAAGAACATTACAGGTGCTGAGGCCACTGTTATATGTAGGGTGCCCACCAATCAAACTTCAGATCCAAGAGAAGAAACCAAAGGCAACCACACCCTATACAGAGAGACTGGGGGACCGCAAGCTGCCGAAACCGTGGACGAGATTTAAACTACCTGTAATCCGGTAGACTGTCAGCTAAGAATCCAACACGTTATAAGTAGTCTCTGGGGAGGATGGCTAAGAGATTTTCTATCTTCCCAGGACGAGGGCCTAACGGGAAGAGCATAATCGAGACCTAGGTGTAAGTGATGTCGTGATTTGCCCGAAACCTTTTCCAGTACGCGTAAAATGGATCTCTCACAGCGGGGTTGGGTGAAAGAAGTTCGTCCAGAATATGTGTGCTTAGGTACGTTGTACGCAGAAGTAAGACTGCTCGGTGCTCTTGAGTCGTCCTTATATGTTGAAGGGTTCATCGAGCTCAGCAGCAGGAGCACCCAACACAGAAAGGGACACAACAGAACACAAGGGACCCTCGCAAGAAGGGAGAAATTAAAACAGGCAAATAAAAGTAGGATATAGACCGGTGAATGGGCATTTCATAATTCGTCCCACGCCGGAGGAACAATATGTATATACCTCGGATGTACACGAGGGTGGGCTGGTTTTTTACTTGAAAAAAGGCTAAGCAATGCATTTTGTAACCTTACAAGGGCTGTTATATTAACTTCCGAGTACATGTCGACACCAGTGCTTTTAACCTACAGCTATTGATTTTACCATGAATGCAACCTTGTCTTGGCATTTTTGACAGGTTTAGCGAAACAGGGATAATTCATTGTTTTAATTACAAAGTTTTCAATTTTTTTCCCTCTGTAACTTCACCGTATTTGTGTATTGTAACTTCTCTGCTATGTTTCCATATGGATTTAGCTAATTTTTGACGTCACCAGAAAATACTAAACTCCACAGTGGCAGATCCAAGATAGACAATTTTGTTGTAGTCAGCAGTTAACTGTATTATCTATAGGGAACGTTTACAGTTTCAAGAGGGAAGAAGGGAGGGAGAGGGTGAAGGCCAGACTCCCCAATCATATGATCAATGTATTGTGACTTAACATTATCTTTGTACGTCCGAGCGTTAAAATTAAAGTATCGTTTTTATTACGGTGATTATTGTAATGTTGTAAGGGACAAGCAATTGCCTGGTAGAATTGTAAGTAAAGCTGAAATTGTCAGTTTTGCTTTACTGCCTTTTTGATCCAGATGGTTATTATTCAACCACTGCGAGATAGCAACTGACAGTACCGCTGTTTTGTTTCCTAGGTTGTATACTTTACTGCAACGTTTCCATATATACTATTGACTATTTTGCTGGTTCGCGCCGTCACTTTACCTGGCGCCGGGGAAGGGATCAAGTTTTATCTCACCCCTAATGTGACACGACTACGAGATGGCCAGGTAAGCCCTCATTAACTTGAAACTTTAATTTCTACCCAATGTGCTCCTACAGGTTTTGAAGTGCACTAGGTGACTTAGGGGACCTTAGGGTGGGTTCCTTTGGGGTGATCTGGATCAGGATCAGTGATCCAAGATGTCTGGATCATGGTGCATCAAAGGAATCGATGAATCCGTGACCAGAGTGGATTCACTGGTTCCTTTAATGCACCATGATCCAGACAGATCTTGGATCACTGATCCTCATCCTGATCACCCCAAAGGAACGTACCCTTTAAAGTGTTGATTACGCTTTCATAATTGCCCTCGCGACAAAACGCTCGTTAATCTTAATAGTTACACAACAGTAGGCTAGCAATTTGTAGTTGCAGTATTGCTGGCACCCCCGTGTCGATTAATAAAAATATGATTTTCTAACCAGTTGCAGAAAGTTGTTAAAGGCGCAATTCATCTACCGGCAACACCACTGATGTTTGGCTATTTAAGTTTTCCAATAGCCCAGTTTCGATGTATAAAAATTCTAACTTGGCTCATGGGCTTAGTGGAATGAAACAAAATAAGTTAGTTATTCATAGCCTATTCTCGATGCCGTTACTTTTACTTTATTCCCATAAACCTCAGTGCCAAATTAGAATTTTAATATCTCAAAATTGGCCCATTACTTTGCAAAATAAAGTTTTGCTTACCATACTGGAACATGTTTGATCTCCGAATTTGATCGTAAATCCGTTGGGCAGCTTTTCAAACTTACTAATTAAAAAATCATGATTACAGTAAGTGAATCGTTTGTTACCAAGAGTAGCATTTAAATTTAAACATGATATTATCTTTATTCTTTCAAGTTTGTGGGCGTTGAAGGTTTCGTGACAGCCATTGTGGATCTGTTTCCCAATCATTTGAGGCGTGGTTATCGTAAAGAGATGTTTATTGGTTTCATGTGCATAATCTGGTTCCTTTTTGGATTGTCTATGGTCACCGAGGTAACTGCCAATAACATGAAAATGACAACAATACAGGAATATCTTTATCACAGCGTAAGAGAGGACTGCCTATACGTAAACATTTAAAAGTTCTAAGTTCTCACCAACCCAGAGTAATATGATGTTTGTGTAAGAGCTGTCCACAGATAGTATTTCGGATCACGTCCACGAGCTTTTGCATGACACGGCTAAGAGGGATCTTAAAACATACCTAGGTTGACTCATAAAATATGCAATGC